AATGGCCGTGTTATGCCGGCCTCGTTCTTATGACACTATTCACAGGACGAGACGAATAGTGCGCTCAAGTGACATACACCCAGACGGCCATCTCGTACCTTTCTTGCTTTTTTGAAACCTCGTTTCTTTTAACCAACAATTTTCGCGCTTTCTTCGCCACCATGGCCTCTATTATTCCACTTGAAATAGATACCTCAAAATTGTTGTGAGCTGAACCTTTGGACTGAAAAAATAAGCAAAAGTAATCAAACTCTCATCGGGAACCGAAGAGATCATTGGTTCTTGATTACGGTATAATCCAGGAGGGCGCACTGGTACGAAATGGTTAGCAAAAGGCTCAAAGAAAACTCTATTAAAAGGATCAGAATTCAATTTCTGCGTTTTTCAGGTGCCTGGAATACTACGAAGCCGAATACAGCAGTTTGGACGATCTATTCTCACGTGGTGATCCTACACTGTTGGAATCACGGTTTGAAGGTACTGACAGCTGCCATTCGAGACCTATCGACAGTCAGTACCACTGACGGTTGACTTTAAGAAATCAAGAAGTTTCCCGTATGCGATAATAATGTAATTCTTCACAAAAGGGTAATATACGTTTATCTCGTCAGTTCACGGGTTCTTTGTGCCACTGCCTCTTAGATTTTGTCAAACATTCCAAATTGCAGATATTATTATTATTTGTAGAGGTGATTTGTTCAGCAATAAACTTGCAGGTCATTTGTTTCACAGGTGATTTACAAGTACAGACATACTTTAAGGTGGCTACAAAGCAAAGCCTGCAGTTTATTGAAGTTACCCTGCAAGCAAGTAGCGTCCAGTTGATTCCTTACAATAAATAATACTGCTAGAATTGCTCCATTCAGAGTAGCCTACTTTGGTGACAAGCCTCGAGCCTTTCTCAGCTGGTTTCGGCGGGGGTCAGATATTTATGCTGAGGTCCTGCCCTAATTTGGACCACCCAGCTTGGCTGGAAAGCACTTTTCTGATTGATTTTCACAAGACATACCACAAAAACTATCTACTTGAAATAAGAGACTCCGACTTTGGCGTGGAAGTGGATACAGGTGCAGCCTTTCGTCAGAGGGTGGCGGATTCCACGCTTACAGCCCTCACTTGGCCGAGGTTTCTCCGCAACAATTGAAACATGGACTGTATTGAACAATGCGCTAATGGTCAAATTTGGTCGGAAATTCGTCGCCTAGGCAATCTGACCTTTTTGGTCTCTTTTTTGCGCCTACGAGCTCTTTATATGCTCCCTTCTTGAAAGCCTCCAAATGAACCTTTTGATTTGACCAAGCCTGACACCCGAGGAAGCATCTGTCAGCAGAATTCACTGAATTGCAGTTATTAGGTGACTAGACGTTCTTTACACAGATTGTCGTCAACTGGAGTTCGAAACCCGAACTCGATGCAGCTCTCCTTAACTGCAACTATTGAATTATCGCTTAGGTCCCAATGATTCTCCTAAAACCTCAATACTAGAAGCATTCCTAGAAATAGGAAATGATCAGAAACCAAGCTGGATATGACCATATATGATCCCTATAAAATGAAGCTCCTTCGCGAAATATGAAACATCGGCGACACCTTTAGGAAATCTCCGCCTGTACTCGGACGGACTTTCAGTTTTCCATTTATAGCAGTAGTGCCATGCCTCATCACTGCGGTCTTTTTTAAGCCAACAACATTTTATCATGATGATCTGATGAAAAACCCATAAATTCAGCGATTTCAGCAAATGTAAGTGCCATAAAGAGATAAACGCCCTAAATAGACTGGCCCGATAAGGTTGCCGTCAGCGAAAAGAGGTGCTGATCACAGACATGCCGGTCTATTCATAGCTAATCTGTCTAAACCCCATTATTTACTTGATCGTTTTGCTTTTAATACGTGGTTTTTTCTCGAAATACATTGAAACTCGAAAATGCTCTTGTTCTTTGTGGTTTCATCCGAATCATGAAGCAAATTCCGAGCTCTTTTACAGGAAGCATTTATAGTTTTGAGAAAAGCCTCGGAAAGATATAGAACTCGAACCCATTTTTCATCCGTTCCACAGCAAAGTTCAGCCCTATTCGACTTCCGCTCCACCGTTCCGGAGGCATTTTAGAACCTTCCGACATTTTCGTTTGACTACTCAGTTACTTATCGATTTTGTTTTAGTTAACTCTTCATGATCTCCAATACAGAAATAAATTCTGAGAAAAAAACCAATAAAACACACCAGAACTTTCATTGTGCCCTTGCCCCACTCACCGTCCAGTGACCGAATTCGGGAACACCTCGAGAACAATTGCAGAGCAGAAGAACATTCGGAAGTAACTCCTGCCCTTCATGAGGACTGAGTGGATGATTTATCTTCCCTCACATTTATGTATGCTAGGGAAGGAACGTACCAAGAAATCGATCCCCTGAACTCGAATCTATCATGCCTCATAATCACTCCTATACTAGACAATTCATTCCAGCGTTGTATCATATTATTCACATTGACCGTCGAAGGAATATGCTTGGAAGTGCATACTTCATGCTAAAGGATCCAACCACCTTCTTCCAAAGGATTTACTAGAGTGGCAACTTCTCCAAAAGAACCATTATGAGTGATCAGATTATAACTAGCCTTTTGTACCTTCAATTGCATATTGTCTTGAACCTACTCGATTACGAGAAGAATCCAAGTGCATGACGCATCCGATTAGTAATCAATATATTTATGCATTTTTTAAGGATCTTTTCGACTACTTATATCTTCAGGACCTCCATAGGGATGCCTTACAATTATCAATATGATATGGCTACGAGTAAAGGGAAAGTTATTTTTAAATTGTTGTTCCGATGGAGAGGATCCGTGTGGAGGGCCGTCTACATAGAATACCTTATTTGGCTCACTGCTTACGCGATTGTTTCATGTATCTATCGCTTTGCACTCAACGAGGAACAACAGGGGTGAGCTAATTTTATTTAATTTTGAAATTTAGCCTTTGAAGGTTGAGGAGATTGCCAAAGGAAGGGAAATGGGCGTCCCAGATCGTCAAAAAACTGACTTGAGTCGTTTCGACAAGTGCTATTTAGAGCCCTACCAACTTACTTACACTATTCACAGTAAAATACTGATGTATTTGTTACATTGCAGCCTTACACGCTGTGGGGGGAGAGCGGGGAGTTGGGGTAGGGGCGCTTCAGCGGTTCGAGCCGATTGGGTCGAATTCTACATCCAGAACCACTCACTCAAAAAAATCATGTTTATCCTGAAAGTAATAAAAAATTATTTATGGTACACGAAAATCACACCCACAATCGAAGTTAATGGGCAAGTTGAGCGGGTATGTTCAAGGGTATCCAGGGTTAGTGGATTTGTCAACTTCAACAAGCTGGGTGCCAAAGAGCAATAAGCTAAGCTCTCGAATAGATCCACTATTTCCAGATACAAGTACCATAAGTATTTTCCATGCCTTGTAGATTTCAGATGAGAGTAAGGGTGTGGCACAAACATATGGTGAGTCCATCGATAAATTGATAAGCTATTCTAGAGTTACTTCCGATTAATTTCCAGATAAGGGCTGGATTTTTTGAATAGAATCTACCACTTCCTTTCCTCAGTAGTGGAATACAAAAGCTTCTCTTCACTAAAGTATTAAAAGACCGACAAGTGTTGAGCCATTCGGTTGAATTCTCCGGAACGTCAGAAGAGTTCACTCCCTGGAACGGATTGAGCTTATGGCGTAAAACCTCTGTAAATTCCACTCAACTTCAGGAAATTCGAGAATTTTGCCGCTTTCTGCGATAAACGACTTAGCTACATCCCGATGAACTTCATGCTCGGGTTTTTCGTGACAATCGTCGTGAATCGTTGGGTAACACAATTCGCCAATCTTGGAATGATTGACAAGTACGTAACAGTTTCGGTTCTCAGTAAATTCTGCTGCTTGCTGTTAGCACTAGGGTGAAACCAATGGATGGTCCATCAGACACACTAGGGAACTGCTTAAATGACTACGTAACCGACAAGAGTATTCTTAGAAGAGCAAAGTGGTTAGAAGGCTCGAACAGAATTCGAGACAACTAACAAACAGTCGCCTCGTTGGCGGATTGGAACTTCGGTCACCTCGCGCAAACAAATGGTTTTTGTTGACGCGAGCAAAATGATTACTATGGAATTCGGATAACTAACAGCAGCCCTGTTCCTCTCAACTCTTCCAAAGAAGGGAAGCTGGCTCAAAGCCCAAGGGAATGCATTGAAATGAAGATTTATAACAGCCATTCTTGTCTTTGATCTGAACCAACACCAGATTTCCAGTATCGCTCTGTTCACCTCAGAACTCGTCAAAGGCAGCGACGATCGTGGCAAAAATATCCGACGGAACATCGTGCGGTGAGTTTACGATCTCTTATCAGTGATCTTCGCAATATGTGACGCAAAAACCATTCGGTTTCAGATACTGTGTCGCTTCACAATGTCTCGTTTTTCGAGATATCCATATCGGNGTCAGAAAACGCTTCCCCACACTGGAAACGATGGTTGCTGCGGGTAAGTCCGAAGGAACGGCTCGATCTTGATCTAAGCCGAGTTCGCAGCTCAGAAAACTGCGCCCATTGAAAGCAACTCAGAATAAGTCAGAGCGTTTAATATTTGCAGAACAATTAGACTTTACTGCTCGTTTCCTTTGACTAACCAGTTTCGTGTGAGGTAGGTAGATCAGTACCGGAAAATTCGCACCTTCGTGTTCTTTTCACCTTTGTGTCAAGTGCCTGTGAGTCATTAGGTCAAAGCGCGAGCTTTGCCGGATGTGACAAGCGGCACACTTTTGCGACGATTTACTGTCTCGGAGCGCACTCTCGCATATATGCTGTGCGTGGAACATCTTGATTCCCAACGACGTTACTAAGACCAAACACTAGCCGCAGCTTCGGTCAAATCGACATTACTGGTGGTCGAAACTATTGACATAGAATAAAAACAGTTCACAAATATAGATGAGCTAAAGTGAGGAACATGGGGTAATAGGCGACGACAATTGGATGATGCAATCGTCGCATGTCGGAGAGAGCGGCTAGAGTCCGTGGCTAAGCATGGCCATGGCAAACTCTGCCTTTCTGCAGCGTACTGTGCCTTCCCGGCGGGACCGAGAGCGCGCCACGCAAGACCTTTAAGTCGCCTGAACTGCACGACAGGCTCGCAGCAGATCACCAATGCTTTAGAACGTAGCTCGTGTGGCCGGTGCATAGGAGCAGAGCGGCTAGTGTGCTACGGCCACTGCGAACATGAGTGGAAGGAATGCATTATTTGTCTGATAATAAGGAATTTCGCTCAACCTAATTACATAATTAATTACTATTTGCAGGTTTTCTCCAACAGCATGAACTTGATAAATTCTTGGCGTGCAAAAGCCGTTATGCAAAATATTGGATGCCACTTAACTGGGCTCTTCATTTACTGAATACGGCCCTCGATGAAAAACGAATAGATGGGGATATTGCAAGGAATGCAATTGCCCAGGTGACCTTCAACCGCTCTTTCTTTACTTAACAACTACTACATACTATTCAGCATACTGAATTCTAGGAAATCCGGAATTTCCGTACAGGGCTGTCTCTGATCTGGACCTACGACTGGGTGCCACTACCGGTTATGTATCCACAACTGATCTTCCTCTCAGTGCATGCCTACTTCATCGTCACCGTATTCTGCAGACAGTTCATCATCACTCCTACTGCTGCCAATTACACTGTTGTAAGTATTAATGATGGGAAATAGGGTATGAAAACGGACTAGGATGCGCCATCTTGGTCGCCATATCAGCGACGGACGCGGCGTACGCAAACCGCAATCTTACAAAGCATAGAGGGGACCTTTTGTCTTTCTTCAAAGATCATGGGTGAAGGCTCTGGCAGAACTAGCCGAGACGGCATGCATTTCCTAGTTTCCATGACGGTAGCGCATCACGAACCACATGCTGGACTTACCCCTGGAACATTCAAAGTCTAAGATGAGCCTTTTTAGGTCGACCTCTACTTCCCAATTATGTCCTCTCTTGAGTTCATTTGCTATATGGGTTGGATGAAAGTCGCTATGGAACTGCTGAATCCATTCGGTGAAGACGACGACGACTTCGACTGTAACTTCCTTCTGGATAGAAACCTCACTGTAAGTCCTCTGGAATATGGAAGTCTGGAAGTCTTCTTTGCTGTGCACAATAGGGTATCAAGAAAAGCTTCCAACTGTCAAGAGGTTTGGACGAAGCCCCAGAAATAACGTTAACCAAGTAGGCGGACATCTGAATGGTTCTAATATTCTGATTCTTCTCATTCCTTCCCGATTACAGTCCCTTCTCTGAGGCTGGTAGAGCGTGATCTAAGCAGGTAAATTTTCCAGATTTCTTTGACAGCTGTCGATGAAGCGTACGACGATGTCCCAGAACTCAAGCCGGATATGTTCTGGAATGATACTGTGTCGCCATTGTATTCAAAGGAAATGGCCAGCAAACATGTCAATTTCTATGTGGGAAGTGCGAATAGAGCTGAGTAAGTTCTTCACTACACGTCATCTGAAGTTCTGGATTCAGAAGGAAAGAGGTCGATGCGGCTCTTGGCAGTTCTTTTTGAGCCGATTAAGGCATCTATGGGGTACCCCAAGAGGCGTAGATGAACGCAGTACGCTCTCAGCAGAATGGTTGAATCAATTATTTATTTCCCAGATAATCGAGCTTACTGAAAAAAAAGTTGCGTTACAGGCTTGGCAATGACGTAACAGAGATCACGATGATCCCCCACCCACAGAATGAAAGGTTCGACCACTACATCCAAAAACCGACACGACGACGACGTGGTAGCGTTGTTTCTGTCAGCAGGAATGTGAGGCGCAAGTGAGTCTATCTGAGCGACTGTTAACAGCAGACCTATAGCCGGTCCAAGTTTCAAAAATCAGAGCAAACTTCCGGATTCTGTTCGTAATCGGCATGGTTGGACTTTAGCTTTACAAAGTGCCGAATGGTGTTTTATGGGCCATAAAACCAGGTCGAAACTTACGAAAAGTACCGATAAAAGAATATCAATGACGCGCCATGCACGAAGACCAAACATTTTCCTTTCAGTGATACCATATCCGACAGTCGAAAAACATCAATACTGAGTCAAGTATTCCGACGGAAACCGTCTTCATCAATGTAAGTAACCTTCCGCGGTGGATTTCTTCCCCGTTGGACTTAGACTAACAAGTTCTGAGTTTCTGCGAACTCGTTTAGATAAAAGCAGAACTAGTTCAGAGGGAGAATGTGGCTCTACACGGTGGAATTTAGACTTATCCTATCTAAGTATGAGTCAAGTTTGTGCACAGAAATCCGCTGCAAAGGTTGTGCTAAAGGGAGAAGGGAGGCCCGCATTCCGAGGCCTTTTGTGAAAGATTTCGGAGAGCCAGGATCTTTATGTTTGAACTCTACCCACCTTCTTCGCTTGTTCCAGACTCTTCTCCTTTCCTTTTTGCCGGTCCACTGTGACTGTAACTTCAAAACGTATGACAGTTGAAGGTTCTGACGCCTCTATTCCTTTTTAGTGGACCCTGCTTCTGGTGAAGTTCATGTTCTTCTGGTTCTAGTACTTATTAGACTCCGTTTCAACTAGAGGACCAACTCATGTAGCCCCCTCCCCCCA